CGTCGTCATTGGGAGGCGGGGGCTATGCGTCAATGGACGCTTTTAGACGTCAAAGGGTTCGAATGTGTTCACGGCCGTCAATCGTTTTGCCATCCATCGCGTTGGCGTGTACCGACCTTGGCTTCGTTCCGGTGCAGCTTCTCCTCCACGCTGAGCGCGGTGGGCGAGTCCGGCGGAGCCGTCTGAAAGATGAGCGCAGCGGCAGACGGCGTGACGTGACGTGACGTGACGTGACGTGACGTGACGTCATGCGACGGCGGCGGCGCCCACCCGGTCGCCCTGAACCAGCAGAGCCTTGAGGCGCGCGATCTCCGCCCGCAGTTCTCGGATCAGCCTGACGTTGGCGTCCTCGTTGACGGTGGGCTTGTTGATGATGTTCTTGGCCCGGTTGGCGTAGCGCAGCGTGCTGAGCGTCTCGCCGTAGTTGACGTCTTTTAAAAAAAAAACGGGCTGGTCTGACTTTGGGCGCGCCGCTCGCTCTTCGTCGTTGCGCTTTTGCCGTTCCGGTCTCGGGAGACGGCCCGCGCGGCGGATTCTGACCCAGGGCGGAGATGACGTTGCCGAGCGTGACGAGCGACTTGTTGATGTTGGGCGGGGACTTGAGGCGAACGCCGGCGGCGCCGGCGGCGCCGGTGGCGTCGGCGCGCTCGCTGCCGGCCAGATCCACCAAGTGGATCTTGCTCAGCGTCTCGCTGGGCATCTCCGCGTCAAACTTGGCCTGGACAAAAAAATCGATTCGGGCGGCGGCGCGCGCGCACACGCGCTGTAAAAAACGGAGCGTTTTCATTGATTTCTCCCACTCCCCACTCCTTCGCTTCCAAAGACGGTTTGAAACGTATTTTCGGAGACGGTCCAGAATTGGCTGCTCCTGAATGAGTTTTTAAGAATCCAATTGTGCGGTCAAAAAGGTCCACGGGCCCCCTCCCCCCCCCCCCTCCACCGCTGTCACACATGGAGGACATTTGCGGCAGGGACGTGCGGCCAGGGGAGGCAGAGCCTCACCTCAGATTGCGCAATCACGGCCAGGGGAGGCAGGGGAGTTAGAGCCTCACCTCTGATTGCGCAATCACGGCCAGGGGAGGCAGAGCCTCACCTCTGATTGCACAATCTCACCGCACGCCACTGATTTGCGGGCACCTGCGTGAAGTTGACCGTGAAGATGGCGTGCGAGCGGCTGCTGATGTGGTTCATGCCGGTGCTGGCGGTGGTGCGCTTGACGTTTCCCGCCTCCATCAGCTCCTCCACGTCGCCGTAGTTCCGCACCAGATGCTTGGACAGACCTGGAGAGACACGATGGGACGAATCCGCCCGTCGCCGCGGCGCTCAGATCGGTCGTTCCGCGCTGGAGGATAAAATCTGACCTTGGACGTAGGGTCCGTCCTTGGGGTGCTCCCGGACCCTCAGGTTGGACGTCTGAGCCGACTTCCTCCTCAGGAGATCGCGCACGCGCTCGTTGTAGATCTCCAGGTAGCTGGGACGAGGGATGATGGATGAGCGGCGGGTCTGCCGCACGAGGGGTGGGGGAGG